GAAGTTCAAAAAACAAAATTTCACAAAGATTTTTCTTCTCAAAATTTCACCTTGAGTTCAACATCTACGTTTCATGTACATTAAATTGATCATATAATAACTTAGTGCTCTTTTAAGCTCGTTGTACAAATATTTTTTTCCAAAATTTTTTTTCAATTCTTGCTTTTAAATTGCTAAAAAAAAGTTGAAAAAAATATATGATCAATTTTTCACTTGTATCACATAGCAATATGTAGATCTTGATGTATAAAACTTAATCTGAACTTCAACTTGTTACTTCAATCAATTTAAAACTTCACACAAATATGAGTTCACATACACATTTTAAATCTTGTGAAAAAAAAATAGAATTTTTTGCATTGAAGCTAATTTCTTTTTTTTCTTGCTAAAAGCTAATTTGCCACTCTATTACTAGTAAATTTTAATTGTGTATCTTTGTTTCAACTTATGGCTCCCAAATCTTGTTTGATTCAAATTTAATCTATTCAAAATTTGATTCCAACACAAAGTGCATGTTGTAATTTATTTATTCAGAAAAATAAATTTGTCATAAACTTTGTGATTTTTGCCATGCTCCAAACCTCGTATGTGGCAAAATCAAAAGGATCTTTAAGTCTAATCTTGGATGCTCATGACACTCATGATGTTAGCTCCCTAGTCCTATGAGGCTGAGTTTTTCGCAATTGGGGTATTTAATTGCTACTGAAGAAATTGAGACCATTGATGATATACACTATGCTTGATAATTTTCTAGCTATGAGTAAAATGAGCATGTACATGTTTGATTCAAAAAAGTTGAACCGAGAAATTATGAATGCAAGTTTAGATACTTCAAGAGTGCTAAGAATTATGGTTTTTTTATTTGGAGATTTGTTATATAATGTTATATCTTTTTTACATTACTATAAGGATGTAACACTCGGATTTAGAGAAAAAGTCACTCAAAGATGAAAACGTAGACTCTGAATGGATGGATGACGTGACTGATAATCATAACAAACACACAGATTGTTGACGTGACGCTCTTAATTAATACACTCAATCCTTACGTACTAAGCACACGGATTGTTGATGTGGCGTTGTCAACTAACACATTTATTCTCTACCTTCCCAGCATGCGGATTGCTGACGTGACAACTATGATCAGTGCAAGCTAAAGTAACTATAACTTCATCTTGAATAACCTCTGCTTTAGTTCTAACTAACACAAGATGGTTACAGAGGGTGATAAACCAAGAATCATAAAAGGTAGGTCAGTCTAGCAAAACTTAAGCCAACACATAAGACACAAAGTATAACATGTTTCATCTTTTGGAGTGCTACATCCACTCGTAAAGCTAACGTGTGAGAGTGTAAGTGTACTCAGACATGTCTAATAATACACAAATCCTAGGATTAACTACCCCATCATCTCTGCTCTTTCTAGTTATATATAGCTACGACCTGGAGATACTCGTTAATCAAAATTAATGTCAACACCTTCTTTATATGCTAACTATGAACAAAATGTAGATAAAAAAAATCTACTATTGGATATATGTTTTCATTTTGTATTAGATGCAATAATTGAAGATTTATGTTACACAAGTGTATAACTTAGTGTAATATAGCTTAGTCAAATAAACCCATAACTTAGCTATGTGAAAAGCAGCAAAATGAAATATTTGGTAAAATAGATTTATCACTTTGACTAGATTGATATATTATGTTATCAAACTTTCTTATGATAATGAAATTGCATTACATCTTACAACAATTCAAATGATGTATAGTAGTATGAAATACATTGACAACATATATCATTTTTATCAAAGTCTTAAATTCTAAAAAAAAATTTCTGCAAGTCAAAATTGATTTATTCAATTCAATTGCTTCATAATTCAAAAAAAAATTGCTATAGATTTTTGATAAACATGTTCAATTTTTGCATGAAAATTACAAGTAGATTAATAAGATAAACAAGATGGAATATCAACTCTTTGCTTATATATATATAATACATCTTAGTTTTTATCAATTTTAATCTAAAGATCAATTTATCTAATACTCTTAATCTAATATTTTTCTAGAATGATTATGTATGTTATGGAGATTATAATCTCAAACACATGAATCAATAATTGTATTTTTATATTGAAATGCAAGTATTGATTGATTATTATTTACTTCACTTCAATAAGTTAATTAACCTGTAATCGTATAACAAACCAATCAAAACTATCATTATCAAATTTATATATATTTTTTAGTGAAAAAATTTATATTTTTGAATAAAACAAATTTTCTATAAAATTTTTTGGATATTTCATGTTTTATTAAAGAATTTAACTTCTTTTTCTTAAAATAAAGTCTTAATAATTTTGATGAAATACTATTAAACAAATTTTTTAATTTTCAAAATATATCAAAATTCTTTAATGTATTTTTCTCTGAAGAATTATGATTTAATCCAAGTAATACTGTAATTAGTTAACAATTTTACTTATTGATAGAAAAATGTGTTTAAAATATTATTAAAATTATCTATATATGATAATGAAACTAACATTATAATGTTTGAACATGAATATAAATTATTAAAAATATCATATTACTTTTATGATTTTAATATATTTCAGTTATATCAATATGGTTCTACTTGATACAATATTCACTAAATTTTAATTTTGGGATAGTTCGTGTATATATGTATATATATATATCATTATTTCAGTTATTCGTGACTATGGGTAAGCATTAATCGGAACGCCGATAATCCGCGACGACTTTCATCGAGACGGGTCGTGGAGTTAGTTTTCAAGAGTCTGGGCTGGGTTCTGGTGTACAATTTTACTCCAGAGGCACAAAACAATTTCTGTAGTGATGGTTTTTGATAGATCGACGACTGAAATTCTGACTTCGTTGGCCTCTGCCAAATCAGTGGGTTCTTTAGTATGTGGAGTCACGCTCGAGAAGAGGAAATTATCTTCAGGCTTTGGGAAGCTTACCTCACAGTGAAAATTACTGCTGCTGATTCACACTTCCTAATTTGTACACAACGGTCATCAGCAGCCTTAGTTTGGTGGTGTGGCTTGAGGTGAGAATTCTCAGCAAAGAGTCGGTGATACGATTTGGATCGTTTTTCTGGGCGGTCTAGTGATTCGTGTTAGCCGATCGGTTTCGATTATGGAAATCGGCTACCGTGCAGAGTTTCCGTTTGCCAGATTGTTTTGCAACGGAGCATCACGGCGGCATGGCAATGCCGGAGATGTTTCCGAAGGTAACCCGAGGAAGAGCTGCTTCGATTGGTGGTAAAGGTCAAAGAGTCTGGACTGAATGAATACCACTTCATCTACTGAATGTGTATCAGTTCCGCTCGATTGCATTGAGCGGAAGGTCATAAAAGATGATGTAAATTAGTCCTCAATAGACTGCAGATAGGCGAGTGGGTGGTTTATCACAGGGAGATTTAACACGTTAACATCCTACATTCCCCGTTGTGCCTTGTTACATGAATCATCAACCATTGTCCTGCAAAAGTATAAGGAGTTCAAGTTTGAGTTTTAATATATTTTGACGTTTGCATATCCTACCCTCGACACTATTTGGACTTTGAACAATTTCCATCCTAAGCATCCAGATCCAACCTCGCTCTCTCCCCATCAACTCTCGTAGAAACTATCATTCACACATCCAGTCGTATGTTTTCTAACATCGGCGGCTCAAATAGATAAGTAGACGTCGCAGTGACACTGATGTTGTCCTTCGTCGCCTCGTGATCCAGTTGGCTGTTGTAGTGTTTAGCGTCAAAGCATCAAGGACAATATTTGGTCTCCATCGCAACCTACTCTTGACTTTCAGGTTCCTTTGGATTACTCCCCTGCACTAAATAGGTTCAAGATTTTTCCGCTGTCATTGGGTATTGAAGGCTTGTACCACATTCTAGATAGAGATTTCACATGATCCTTACGAACTTGGGCCACCTCCCATCCTTCGGAAAAGCTTTCAAGTGACATAGTTTATCTTATCAAAGTACATCTGACTACGTGGAACATTTATAACTTGGATGCTTCATCTACTTCTTCTGTCATGTCACGATCTGTTGATTCTGATAGCAGCGTATTCTAATTTGTGGTGATTTCATTTCTAGTTAGACTTGAGTATCACCTCAAGATGATTTGCCAATTCAAACTTCTCTTCCAGTTTTCAATCTGGATTTGTGACATTTTGATTGCGGTATTTTCTTCGAGTGAATGCTCGAAGTGATGTGAAGTCATGGCAGTACATAGAAGTGATGTGGAAGTTATATAGTGCTCCGATGGCTTTGTTTTCACGAAGTATTTTGCTAACCGAAGATTTCAAGATAAAGCTGAAGCACTTCCCTTGATTCCAACCTGGCTAGTGTGCACAACAACATGGTGAAGGACATATACCTGATTCCTTTCTTGCAGGAAACAGGTCCAACAAAATGTCCCAGTCATTAACTAGGAAAACAATTTTCGGAGTTCAACGAAGATGATCACGTGGACGTGGGTGACTGCAGACGGAAGGTCAATATTTCTGAATGTCGGGTGGCAGGACAGGTACAGATAATATTCTGCTTCGTGTTAACGTGCATAACTATGAACAAACTTGAGGTCCAATCATACACAATGAACTCGACTGCTACATCAACCAAAAGGTACTACGAGGTATAATCAAGACTAGGATGATAGTCCACACTAGACACACCAACCAGCTCCACATGATTATCTTCTTCATCTTCCATCCAAGAGACGTGCTCACATCCATGACTATCCTCAGAACAGTAAGGATTGAAGCGTGAGGAGAAAAAGCTGTTTACCTCGAGAGGAGAAGGATGTGTGATGTGCATAGGCATATCACACGCTGAACTTGGAGCTGGCTACTTGTGAAAGGAGATTTGAGACAACCGAGAGATTGAACGGAATGCAACCCAGATCCTGATAACACTATCAGGCTTAGGCTACAGAGTCGACGATATTGTATGCGACCTACTTACTCGAAACTCAGACCTGTATGACAAACAGGCTGGAATAATTTATTAATATGTGTTTTACTGGCCTTGGCCAAACACCCTCAGCGAAAAATAATTACACCAATCACCACATGTCCATTTGTACCTTATTTACTGCGACCAAAGCATGACCTCTTGGCTCTTAGAACCTAGTTAAGGCAGACCGACAAACTTGCCATCCTTCGGTGGTGGATATATACACAAATGTGGGGCAGAGGGATGGCCATCTCAATGTTACAAAGGTGTTTGAGTGTGTGTGTGAGTGTGGGGGGGTACTATTCCTAATCTAGGCATAATGTGGTCGCCTGGATTGAATAGACAACTATAGAAAGACGGCAACAATTAAACGGGTCTCGAAGACAAACTGGTCGTAGCTGAGAAATGTGCAACCAAGGACACTAAAACCAGAACCTGTGCTAAGTATTGCTCTTTGACTACAGAGTGAAGAACCCATGATATCCCCGCCTTCTTTACAAAAAGATTCTCTTCTAAACTATGGTCCAATCACTTTCGCTAATAGACTGTTTCCTTTCCTCCACAAATGCTGGCCTGAGATTCTTCTTTTCGAAGAAACTAACTTTAACTTCCATGAGCCGAGAAAATATGTTGTCACCTTTGACATTCTGAAAGATATCTGGGGCTGATTTTCGTCTTAAAAGTTTCTCAGGTGGGTTTTCACCCTCTGATCCCCGACGTGATTCACAAGCTATCTCTGACGGGGTATACTGCAGAGCTTCAGAAGTGCTATCCACATGGTGTACACGTGCTTCCTGGACGTCTTGGGGTGGGACATGGACCGTAGCTTCCATCACCTCGTACACCTGTGCCACGGATGCAATGCACTCTCAGTTTGCTGTTCGATAGGACTCGCGTAACGTCCTACAGCCTGCTCTAGGCTCCGTTTATTTGTTAAACCAAATTTCGCTCTTTCCCACATCCTATCATTCAGTGTCAGAAAGTTTACTTTCTTAGTACATGACATAAGGTCCTTCACACTGATGTCTTACCTCACACAGATGTTCCAGCTTCTCCGCACTCATACCTCTACCGCAAGTAGAGATGATATAATCTGTACACTCCTTCAGACAATTCTTCAATGGGTCTCTCTTTGCTGCTGGTGAACCCTCCACTATTGCAAATCCTGCACTCAACTGCCCCAACACAATACTCTTTCCGTAAATTATTCAGAAATATACTAACATAAAATTCTAGACTACAAAATCCTCGCTGTCAACGTCTCTTGGGCAGAAGGCAGAAACTAAAGCGGTTCCACACTAATTGTTCTATAGATCCATGCTGGAAAACAGATATTGAAATCAGCAGGAGTATCTAGCAGCTGCTTACTGCCGATGTAAACAACTGCTCAAAAAGATAAAAAGGAGCAACGTTCTCCAATGCATCCAGCGTACTTTCCCTGTCCACACAAACATTGACCATGACCCCGTTAATTAACAACACTCTATAATAATGAAGCAAACGCCTCTTATGACCGGGTCGGGCTCCAGTTTAGCCACAGGCCCTAAAGAGAAATATCACTCATGTCGATGGGACTAACAGCAGCTCAATATCAGACAGGTCGTTCAACCAACGAACAGAGAACAGCGAAAGTAGAGCACAGGGCACAAAGGGAATGAGAACAGGCAGGATAGCTTACCCCGCAAGCTCTTCATCAAACAATGGAGCCTGCTTTACCGCAGGTATTGGACGAGCGGACGTCCATAGCTCTTGCCAAAGGTTGCCTTTCGGTAGAGTAATCAAAAGTTGAAAGCAGGTCAAATTTCAGGAACGTACAAATGAGTTGAGTTCTTTCCGCATTTCAAGATATTCAACTAGAAATCTTCAAGATTTTACCAGCTAGTGAGTGGCAGCCGCCTAGGACATGCGTGCATGCAAAAGGGAGAAAATAAGGAAACTAATAAAACAGAAAATACTCGGAATGATGTTAACACTACCTTTACATTGCATTCTTGCACTTAGATACCCTCGCGCCGAAGCTTTGATATCAGCAACATTTTCATCTTCCACCGATGTTGTTAAGATAAGGTCTGAGCATGGACCTTCTCTCCAATCTAAAGGAGAATACCAACGCACGAAGTCCTCTAGAATACAGCCAGGATTTGCAGCCTACAGTTTGAAGATAGAAAAGAATCAAGTCAATATCATTATATCCCTCATCTACGGTCAACGGTCGTAGTAACATGATGAGTGCACCTTGACCTAGACAATTAAATATTCACAAAACTGCGATCACTGATCAATTGAAGTTTATGCCGGGCACATACCTTGAAGGCTTGCATGTCAGAGAGGAGATGAGAACATCCAGCGCCCACACTACGACATTTCACAATAGACAGAATAGGTCATACCACTCTAGATATGTCGACTCCTAGAAATCCCGGGCACATGTATTTGAGGAGCTAAGAATTGAAGAATCAGGTACCCCTGGTAATAAATCACCTCCTTCGGCACGAGCTTCACAACATGTAAGCCACTGAAAGCGAAGACATTGCGACCTAGTACTGTACCTTCCAGTACGGAGCACAAGCTCTTCGGTCTCCTGAATTAGATCTTCAGTTAAGACTGGTCCCTCCTGTATACACAGACCATAAAATTGTTCAGATTCCTTCAGCCGAAACTTCTCGTTCGACCGAAGTATGTTGAGCCATCAAGTTGTAAAAAAAAATATGCTTTTAAATCCGTCAATGATTTGACATGCTTTTGACATTAAGAAGAGAACGATATTCGAAGCATATCTCTGAATCTGGTCACTCATCCTTCGGTTTTACGACTGATAGCCTCAGAATGATTGATTACAAGTAAATGGCTCACACCAACTTGGTATAGTAAAACCTCTTACCTGAGTAACGGGTGAGTAAATGGCCTCTCCTGTTTCCAGCATTCTCAAATCTGCAGCTGGATGATCAGCTCCAAGCCTCAAAAGAAGGTCACCGTTCTTTTGTTTGACGTACAACTTAGTATTTTGTTCGTTGGTCGGAACAGCACCAGGACTATCGGAAAGAATTCTGGTAATTTCCGGTGTTTCATTGCCTCTTGTTTGACCTTTCTGCAGTGAGGCCAATGTGAAAGCTCGGCGCTTGCGCCTTGCCATACAGCAGTTGATTAATTGAATTTGCTGGTGCAGTAGGCAATATCGAAGATCTGGGCTTAAATCGACAGGCATCCTTGAGATTGGCTGACCTGTAAACCACCGTCGCCGTAACTGCAAGTACAAGACGAACAAGGTCACGTGACCAGGAAGAGATAATGTCGGAAATCATGCATAGAACTCTAAATACATGAAGTTACCGATGGATGGCTTCATTGACTTTCTCAGATACTGAACAAATGGTTTTCTTCTTTCCTGATCTAAACTAAACGTTTAGATCAAACTCTTTCTCAATGTCGTGATCACCTCTTTGATAACTTCCAGCCAGAATTCTGCCATCTTTTGTTCACTTTTGATGCCACCCATAATTTCTGCCAGCCGAGCAACGAAGCTTTCGGGGGGGGCACCATGGACCTCTTCCGGCAATCTTGTTCTTGCTGAGACAGATGATTCCACAAAGATATCTTTCTCTTCATACTGTGTGTCTATGTCGGCACGACACAAAGAGAAAAATGTGCGAATCAGAGTAAATTTGAGCAACAGACAAGAATAGCGTTGCCCATGTACAGTTGCAACTCAAAAAAAGGTGAATATTTCCCTCAACTCATCACTCACATGCTACGTAGGTTATAGAGTTGAAAACGTGAAGTACTTTCTATACACAGATCAATTCAATCACACAATTCCCGGTCATTTTCTTGAATTTTATTTTCTTTTAAGTGAAGTATAAAATAGGAGCCTGAAGAAAAACGAAGACATACCTGTTTCAAACAAAGACCAAAGCAGTGAATTGTAACTTCCACTAACGTTATTTTGATTCTTCGGTTTCCCGTCCTTGTTAGAAAGTTTGCGCATCATCGCCAAACCCGTGGCCAAACCTGTCCACTCGCCGCTATTTGAAGGATGATCTTTGTCAAGGTTTTTGTAACCTTGGGCTAATTCTTTCATGGTTTTGTAAGTCCTTCCAACCCTGCACAGGAAAGCCACTTCGTCAGACGAGACAAATATTGGCTAACATTGATCAAATACATCAGTCTGACTCGCAGATATTCTCCGTCAAGTATTGGATACATAATTGCCCACCCGTGAGTTATTTACGTCAAGAGTGCGCATAGCATGGTCGAAGTAGGCCTGGATGATAAATGCAGGAATAGGTTTATGTTTGTTTTCAGCCCTGTATATTTTGAAGAAGTGTACAGGGTGAAACTACCCCAAGTACGTATTTTGTAAAAATTCAAATAAACACTATTACAAACCTCAACAATTGACCAACTGTGTCAAACTAAAAAACACCAACTGTGTCTATATATATCTATATCCAGATTAATGGAGACCTTTCGTATAAGTGTGCAAGAGTCCAAAAACATAAAAGGGAGCACAACATAACATAAAAGGAAAAGACAAAGACGTGAACCATGCAAACTTTAACAACAGTATCAAGACTTACTCTGCAGCTGAAGCTAGACGTCGAAGAAGCATGGAAGGGGGGATGGCTACAACAGTAAATGCTCGTTTGTAAGCCTCTTCTTCAGATGGGTCTTTCTTGGGACTCTGGAAAAGACGTGGTCACATCATCTTAGATTTTCCAAATGCACCGGTCGCGGTCTTAGCAGTTGCTGATAATAGTCGGAATCTCTAAAGTTCGTTAATTGCAATTCTTTGCTAGCTCAAATCCAGTCGGCCATAAACAAATACGAAAACAGAGTCCTTTGAAAACATCGTGGCACACTGCACATGCTATTAAGCTCTTGCTTTCAGACTGCTCGAGGTGGCCGGAGATCCTTCAATGAAGAGGAGGAGGAGCTGTGCTAACTGAATGTTGTTTACCTCCAACGGACTCCATCATAAGTATGAGACTGTCAATGTCAAGAGGCAAAGGAAAGGCACGGATGAACTTGAGCAGATAAATAATTACTCACATCTGCTTCATTGCTCCCGGCTTCCGAGCTGCATCTTCGGTGAACGATCCCTATGGGAGTTTCTGAAATCAAGTCCGGGTCCAACTCAAGGATTTCTTGCTTAATGCTTCTGACCGCAATAAAGTACCGCCTCCAGAACTCTTGCTCTTTCATCTTCTTTGGGACATAGAGAAATCGCAGATTTCGTAATTCTTCATCACACTGAACAAAGACAGAGTGGGCTTCATAAGTAGAGATGTCTCAAAATAAATCATCGCATCTGTACTTTTAACCTTTAACAAGTGCAGCGTTTCGTGGCGAAGAGAAAAACTTGGTCGTTATAACGTAATTTGTAAACTTCACTCGCCTCAAGTACGGCCCCTGCAGACTGCATCGCCGCACGCATGTCCACCATAGATCCCTCGTCATGTTCTTGCAGAAGATACTCCTCTGGTTTCTGCGACATTACACCGTCAAGGTGGAGTTTTCCAAGGTCATCACTCCAATCCTATTAGTGCAGTCAACAATTATTTCAAGCCTGCGAAAAGATGAGTTACAACTTGTTCACAATATAATTACCAGGCTAAGAATATCCTCAAATTACAATAGAAGACCAGCATGAAGCAAGTATGTGTCCTTAATGCGCGGATTGTAAGACACGCTACCATCGTGTAATCAAATGTACAAAAACAAGCCCAGTTCTCCAGTTTCATTTACGAAAACCAAAACGTATGACATACCTTAGGGATCTCAAGAATTCTTTGCCGAAACTCTGCCTCATGACGCTTCTCAACCTCAGACTTTCCTATCCAAGGCAGTTCCCCTTTGCCTTCACACCCTGCGTAGATCCAGCTGACTTGAATTGACAAATCTTCTAGCCAATCAACAGATCAAACCCAGCCTAATATAAAACACAGAAAAAGAAACGCCGAAGTCGGATCTGATTCCTCTAGAAGTCAACCCGAATTCTGTAACTTGGAAGGCAGCGGCAAGAAGCCTAACAAGCAGTGTTGTCTATAATGAGATATGGTGCTCACCCCGAAAGAGCGGCGAAAATATGGGGCTTACAGGCTTCGAAAAATCAGCCTTAAGATCAGCTTTCATCTCAGTGATAGTACGTTCAGCTTTCGCAGCTGCAGCCTGCAGTGCTGCAACACATCCATAAAGTGAACACCATCAGAAGTGGTTCTAGACGGCAGCAAGATAACTACTTTAACATCTTCAGTAATCGAAGGAAAACCAGTCGCTCTCTGGAACTGCAACATTCAGACATTACTGGCTGATGCACCCGCCTGGAATACTTCCTAATGGCTCAAATGAGAGAACCAAACCTTTAAACACATACTTCACGTTCGGCGAACTATGCTAAAATCTTGAGAGCTCGAAATGGATCCTCGCATTCGCATATCCTTTGATCGAACGGGCTGAATTTGGTGAATTGTATACACAAAAAGTCTTCCATCAATGATGGCGTATGCTCACTTGTTTCCAATTATACCTTATATACGCTCCTATACACGAAATCAGAGATCGCAGAAACTCTCTATCGACCGTCTTGAACATGGAATCTAGCATAGTTCACCCCCAGGATCCAATTTGGATCAGCCAAAGGCTACAATCCTACTTACGCCGAGCGGGAGCACGCTACCAGGAAGGAATTCTCGGTAAGATGCAATTTTCATCTGAAAGCGAGTGTGCAGCTCCTTCGTACTATCTCTGCTGCTAGATCACTCCCAACTTTTGAACGACCCCACTAACCAGCGAATGATCACCAGGGAGCAAATCCGCTTCAGTGGCGTTCAGCTGACTTTTGTCTCACCGCACAGCTCGGTTACTGATCTGGGAAACTGCAAGAGAGATGAGGGGCACAATCCTCTCCAGGACAGCTCGGGACATGAGGATGAGAGCAGCTCCGCTCAGAAAACAAGGTTCAGGCAAAGGTTTCGAGCCATTACCAGTTTTGGCTTTGGCCAACAATGATGATTCCATCGGACGCTGCTGTCACGGAACGAAGGGACACCGATTTCGAAGGAACTGTGAAAAGCACGTCAAAACTGAGGTTCTGTGGCCACGATGGAAATGATCAAAAGATGTGGAGAACTCGAGAAAATGCATGAACCCCGAGGTTGCGACGTGACAACAATCAAGGGCCGAATTCTCGATAAGTACAGGTCGTATGCAATGTGAGAAAGCTGTATCCACGGCCCCGCCGGGAACTCATACCAGGGGTACGCAATCCCGCTCTTCCACTTCCCAACGCACCCCAGCCTATCCCTCTACTCCTGCAGCGTCAATTCCATCCTCTACCCCTTCCTCCCCCGCTGCCTTGCCACCCCCACCACCACCTCCTCCTCCTCCTCCCTCTGCACTCTCCACAACGACGTGAACCGGACAAATCCCTCCAATCTCGAACCAAATCCCGCGCAGACCAGAGATCCGGAACGCAGAGCAGCAATCGAACACGAAGTCGATCGCGACGCAGATCCCCAGCACATGCCACTCGCAACTCTGCAGATTGCTCGCAGAATGCTGCACTCTCTCGCGTCCAGCCCACGCACCGTCCGTCGATTCCCAAACTCTGAACGCCCTCCGCAAGTCCGATTCGCGCTGATCGCCTCCAACTGGCAATGCTCCCGTCGCTCTTGTCTGCTCTTGCTCTTGCTCTTTCTCTTGCTCTTGCTCTGCTCCGCTCTTCTCTTCTCTTCTCATCTCATTTCCCTTCCCCTCGCCCTCGCCCTCCCCATCCCATCCCGTCTTCTCGTCCCGTCCCCTCCCCTCCCCTTGCCCTTCGAGCCTGGCTTCCTCCTTCCACCATAGCCTCCCTCCTCATGCCTCGCCCCGTTCCCACGCTAAACCTCCTGCGTAACCACGCTGCGCAAGAACTGACCGCCTGCACCCGGTCTCGCAGCCGCGAACCGACTGGGAGGCGGTGGTGCATCACGCTCCGGCTCCGAAGATTCAAACGAGCCCTGTGGAGGCGGATATTCGGTGGAATCGGCAGGTCATCCACGGCTCGTGCTCGTTCGATCGAGAGAAATCCACGGTCGCGTCCGGGAGTGAGTCCTCCACAAGCCTCGCGCGCCCGGGTCTCGCTGCGCTTTCAGCCACATTACCTTTAATGTCACCTGAATGCCACGTGGTTGCCTCCGATTCCCCACCTGCGCAGCACGGTCTCATGGGGTTTGGACTGCACATGTGCCTCTAGTTCTTGTCCCGCTCCGGTGACCGGATGCCAGAGCCCCAGGCTCTGCCGATGGCCAACTATATCGGGCAAAGAATCACTCAGGGCCGTTGGATCTGTCTGGATTGAGTAGGAAATACGGATAAAGTAGATAAATCGGGGCCTTGACTCGCCTGGAGGCTGGACGCCTTCATGAGTCGACTTGAAGGCGGGCCGATCCACATCCGGTACAAGAACTCCGTCCGAGCAGAGGTGAGAGTACTCAATAACCGGCGATAACCATGACTCCTTCAGCTGCTTAAACCGAGCCGCCATCTCCGGAGAGTTCAGCTGAACTCGATTAGGTTGTACACGTCACTCGAGGTTTCAGCATCTCTAACCGCGATCCCTTGAAACCTCGACCCTCCACCGTATCGAGTACGTACTCCCTACACAATACGGCTGTGCTCCGGGAAGAATATTCCATGAGCGGAGAGGCGGCTTTTCCCATTCTTATTCTTCGGGTCATGGTTTGAACCTTCTCGAGTCCGTCCGTCCGTCATCGCGCGGACCTTTGAATGATCCTCTCACGAGATTCGCATGACGTACAAGAAGAGGATGGGTCGAATCCCGGGACGTCTCCGTTCTCCGCTCGCCGTGACAGAAGTAGTGCCTTCACAACGAAGCTTCTCGATCGTACGTACTCCCGTCCCGTCCGATGACGGGACGGGGATGGGCCGAGGCAACTATCGGCGATCCATCCTTGAGAGCTTTCGCTGCACGCGCGCGATGAGGAAAATCGACGGCTGAGGATTCATCGATCGTCACTAAGTATCGACGAGATCCTTCTCCGGCCGTGTCTAATCTACAGCGATTCTCTTTACCACGATGACCGGTGCCCGGCGCTACACAGTACCGTGCGCTGTTCATGGTTGAGCCGTCCTTGAGTTCGGAAGGCTGGTCTGTACCGGCACGTACCGTGTAGTCAAAACCGTATGTACCGACTAAAGTACTGTACTTCAGCACGTGGATCAAAACGAGGTTTTACGGAGTTTGGAAAGGAAGTTTAAGTAAATCCTGTGGACGGAGACTTTCATTAAACTTTGAAAAGGATTGAACCTGACACTTTAGGCGGAAATTTACGATTGGTTTCGAGCTTGGTTTCGAGGAATACTGCCCAGGTCTGCAGTTATTTCTGTTCACATTCATGGAGTGATGGTTTTGTGTAGGCCAATACATACACAAACATGTTCTGATGGTGGTTCTCTGAAAGATGTACAGAATATTCTTAAAAGGCGTCAAATGGCCATGATGAGGTGAAGTACATCCCAATCTGATCTGTACCTCTTGGGCTATCATATCTTCGCTTAAACTGTCAGGTTCGACAAACAGTAGACGCCTTAGATTCCTCTCTCTCTCTCTGAATGTGTTCTTCAACCTATAATTGACTTTTTCTCAGACAGAGAGAGAGTCGATTACAGGTCGAAGAATTCGCTATACAGAACACTTTCATGTATTTGTGGTCAATCTGAGAGTACCAAACCTTGAGTTGCCGAATACAGACAGTGCTTAAGGGAAACAAGAGAAGCCACAAGGCGTGACAAAGCAGTTTTTCTGAATTCATTTCTTTCTTGTATCCATGTCACAAAGTGTTTCATTTCTTTTACTTGCCGGGATTTTGCCTTGTTGTCTGTCATTGCCGTAGGGTAAAGCAGCTTTTGACAACACTGGCGAAGAGAAATTCTCACTACAAGTACCTACTCCCAACTCCGACAAGAGATGAAACAGTTGGAAGATTTTCGGTGGTGTTCCCATCAAGCAACCTTGAACTCGGCCTCTTACCTCATGAGGATATCTTTTACTCGGAGCAAGAACTTGTTTTCAGTAAAATGGAAGTAAAAAGTACACATACGTAGGTTTTACTTCTCTGGCCACTTTGTTCAGCCTATTCCGAAAACATCTTCGTATCAACATCTTGTTGGCGATTAACTACTTTACATATTCAGACGGCTGGAACAAGTATTGCCTTTCGAGGATCCTCACATTGTTCTTCTTCAATGTTAGCACCGTGAAGCCAGAATCTTCGACCACTCGAACGGGGAGTTGAGATGAATTAGCGATAGGACAAATGCTGCGCCGTTGAGAATACTTACAAACCATTTTCCTCTCGAACTTCCCATTGGTTGCATAACAGCCATGATGGCAGAGAAAGAATTGACCTTGTCGCAGTCGTCGTGATTACTAGTTGTTATTCCCATCACTGTAAATAATGCAACCAGGGCAGTGCCAACAATCGTCATTGCATGTGGCGCAAGAGATCACTCGTAGGACGCTGGCGTCAAGCTCCTCGCTAGCTTCGTGAAGAGCATCATGTTTCCCGGAGCCTTACTACTGATCGGATGTCTCGGGTCTGCGAGAGAATTTCATCTAATCTTCCGTATCTGATTCTTGTGGGGCTGGAGCAGTTCTCGCTCCTGTAGACGGCATTCTCGGCAGATGCTGAGAGAACAGTCTTGAGCATAAAGGTTGAGGTAGTGGACCGACTCTTTGATCGTGCCTCGGATAATCTTCCGGGTGGCAGAATGCTGTAGTTCAGAGTGATTTAGAGAGTGCTTCACCTTCAGTCATCCTTGTGGGGTGCAGAAGGGAACTACAGTTTTGCTCTACGCCCCCTTTCCACAGAAGGATCCTGAAGAAGAGCCTAAATCAGACCTCGACTTGACCATTGCCCATCGCCCATTGACCGCAACTGGTAATCGAACATTCACGTCATACAATACTGTGTATGCAGATGAGTAGGTGCACCGATGTCGGGATCCCACTGTGATTTTCACTGGACGTAGAAACTCCAATACACGACACAGAGTATCCACGTGAATTATCGACTAACTGGTCAATGCTGTGAATGCAGGGGAGTAGGGAGTAGAACTTACGTTCTCGCCCTCCCCTTTCATCGCGTCCATACCAGAATATTAAGTTGTCTGTCCATCGCATATCTCAAACCCTTAAACTTTGATTACATAACCGATTGATGTCGTGAAATTTCGCGGTTCGAAATCGATGACTTTGAAGATCTTCGCGACAATGTACGCGGTTTTACACTATGGACTTTCAAAATCATCTGTAATGGTTCTTCATATTAGTATAATGCACAAAGTAGTATCTACAGTAGAATACCGGATCCATACAAATGATGGACAAGAAAGGTTTTCCAATATATATCCTGAGAACTCCTAATCCTAGCACTTGAGAAAATTTGTATGTTTTTCACCGACTAAAATTGGTATACAGGTCTGCATATTACAAAATTTTAAAATAATCAGTCTGTTAGTTGTAATTCATATTATTTCTTAATTTCACATTAAAAAAATATTTTTTATATAATTATTAATTGAATGTACTTATTTATTTATCACATGTATCTTTAATTTTTTGATAAAGATTAATAATATTATAAATTAGTGATCAATATCAACTTTGGCTGAAGTAGACAACCGAATTGGTTAAGATATATCATTAACATCTTCAACACGTAATTTTATTGTCTAATGAATAAATCAATATATATGTAACAGTTATATAAATTTTTATTTCGAAAAATAATGCTGAATTCATATTTAGTACTGTTAGTATTTAATATTGAAAAATATATAATGAAGGTTGGAACAGTTTTAAATTACCTTTAGATTTCGAACTAGCCTCTACTGATCGAATACGTTCTTACTTGAAAAAAATTTCGTCGACTCCGGTACAAAGCAAAATCAAGTATGAAAGTATTCAACCCGACGTGAAACGGAAAAGGATGAGATGATTTGTTTCTCTTCCTTGCAAAGAATGATACTTTGACATCTCAAAGTCAAACTCAAAGGATATGACGGGCTACAAATAAGGCTACCCTCATTTCGATTGAAACAAACATCGCATTTCGGGTTTGTGTCAAAGCAAACCAGAAGCATAGATGAATATCTATGCTTCAATCTTGACGCCTCGACTTGACCCTGGCCCGTGGGTGAAATGAAGGGAGGAGTGAGCTGACAGAACTTCACAGCTCCCCGATCCAAATTCTTGGTCTCTTACAGTCGAGAAATATACGTAGACTCAAGTTTGGGCATCTGAAGTCCTCTCCTACTCATTACCGCAAAGCAAGTGGCATTGAGATTAGATCCTAGAACGTGCTGAGACCATAATTTCTTAAAGTCCAAGAGGGCTTGTAGGAGATTGCAGGGGTCAGGACTTCGAGCAGAAGGATGACTGGATGACAGCCTTCTCGATTCACCTCGTGAGCCTGATGAAGAGCGTAGCTTATGCTGTCACTGTTACAGCAGCATTGCCTTTGTCTGAGGCTTCTTTATAGACATCACGCGTCTCTACAACTGGATGATGCATATTTATATTTATGTCGGCCCCAGTTTCCTAATTTCACTCTGTTGCCTGAGGCAGTGATAAGTCAGGGCTCTCCCCAGTTTCCTAATTTCACTCTGTTGCCTGAGGCAGTGATAAGTCAGGGCTCTCGTTTAGCCATCTGGTGTGGCTGACCTTTTCCCACATTGGATATGTTCCTGGAATGGTTTCGTTTCACATACATGCCATCATAAATGACATCAAATAAC